AAAAAACATGAAAAAACATTTCCGAAATGAAATTCATTGTGTGTTTTCATTTTCTCTTGGTTTTTTTTTTTGTTGTTGTTGTTTTGTTTTACGATATTAGAATTCATAATGAAAATTATTGTATTATTGTTGGAAAAAAATCTAATACCATTAGATTAATTATAGATGTAATTTTTATTGTTGTTGTTGTTGTTGTTTTCATATTGTAAAGAGGGGTCAGATCTTGAATTATGATGATGATGATGATGATGAAAATTACATTCTATCGGCCAAGAAACTTTTCCAATTCTTTTCTTGTGTTATAAAACAAAGAAGAAAAAAAAGACAACCAAAAGTGACATTTGGTAGAATTCTTGTTCAAGATGATGAAAAAAAAATTTCATTGCGATAAAGTCAAATTCATACAGAATTTTTGTTTTTTCAACTGAAAAAAAACTGAAAAACTCATTAAAAGAAGAAAAATCTCAGCCAACGAATCTCAGTGATAGTTGACGTATTACATATATATATAGTCCAGAGAGAAAAGAAGAAAAAGAAATGAAAGTTTATCTAGAAAAAAAACAATAAGAAATGAATTCAGTAGAAGAAAAAAAAAAGCTAAACAGGAATAAATTACCATTAATAATATTATTGGTATTTCCACCCTCACTTTGTTTGTAAGAAAAAAAAATAAATCTCCTTGCCTTGTGGCCAAAAAAAATGAAAAAAATAAATTCATTTAAAAACCAAACATAGCATTGACATTACAATCATCATTTTCATTACTCAGAATTCTAAATGTTCAAAGGAATCAATAGGATCACAATCGCAATCTTTTTTTTTATTTTGAAAGATAATTCGAAGAGAAACATATATCACCACCACCACCCACACAAACAGCATTTGAAATGATTTGAATTCAAAATAATCGAATCGAATCAAATCAAATCAAATGACGATGACAATCGAATAAGCCGATTTAAATAATTTCCATACATTTTTGTAATCATTTTATTATGCAAACAGAAAATACTATCAAAACATTTATATGGAATCTTATTAATGTTAAATTCTTGTTTATCATATTTCAATGTTGGATAATAACAATGATAATTTTCAATGCAAAAAAAAATTATAATAATAATAATCAAATCATTGACATATTTTAATTCATAGTGGACGAAGGTTGATTCAATATCAATATTTGTTGTTGTTGTTGTTATTCATCATCGTCATCATCGAAAATAATGATGATGTTTTATTTTCAACAATATTCTGTTTAGTAAGGGAAATGTTTATTTTTTCAAACATTTAGTTTAGTTTTTGTTCTGATTGAATTCGGTCTTCAATATTCTTCATATGTGTTGTGTTCGGTTTTGTTAGTTAGTTTGTTTTGTCATTCGGCGATTCAATTAATTTTCAATCTTCCTAAGTGGATGATGGCTATCAATTCGAACAATGTGAATATAATCATTATGTGTGGATCGAAAATTTCGAAATAAAGCGAAACTTTTTTCCCCTTATCACTGTGTGATTTTCAACAATGAAAACAAAAGAAGAAAAAAAATAATCAAAAAGAAAAACTTTTAGACAAAAAAAAAGAAAAAGAAAGTGATTAAGAAAAACAAATCAGATGTTCAGATATTCCGCGAATCAAATGATCCGAGAACAAAAAAACAAGAATCAACAATTACAATAAATGAACTGAACAAAAGCAAAACAAAAAAAAACCGGAAAAAAGAAACACAAAAAGGAAATGAAAAAATTCCTTGATTCGAGGCCGTAGGGGAATTCAAAAAAAAAAAAATCTTAATTAACAAAAAAAACTGAATCATCAATGTTCAAAGATATCATGATGATGATGATGAATGTCAAAAAAAAATGAAATTTTTGCTACAAATAGAATTGAAGATGAATAAAAGATATATTTTTGATCCATAATGATGATAAGACATGATCAATCTGATTGTATCAACATCATAAGATATATTGTCAACTTTTCATTCAATGATGATTAGCATTTTCATTTACAATTGATCATATTTATCAGATTTTTCTACATCTTTTCCCTATTTACTATGGTTGAATTGAAAAGCAAAGTTAAATTATCAACGTCAGAATTGAATTTTTCTTAATCGATTTTTGCTATTTCGTTTCATTTTTGTTGTTGTTGTTGTTGTCATTATCTGCTTCGAAAGCTATCCATTCCATTAAAAAAAATGGAAAAAAATATGTTTACACAGTGGCGTACACTAAACACCCACGCACAAATACTTATTATAAAGATAGCGAAACAAAATCAAAATGATTTTATACTTTTATTCGATTGACATTGATGAAAGATGAATGAATAAAATTTTTTTTCATCATCATCATCATCATTACATTGAACAACAACACATAATTATCTGGAAAATTCAATCAAAAATTCAGTTGAAACTTTCAGTTGATTCGAAAAAAAAACACTTCACTTAAACAAGTTTCAAATGAGAATTTTTTTCTACTTCATTTAATTCTATGGGAATAATATGTATGTAAAAATCTCATTTTTGTACAAACTTTATTTATTTATGTATGTGTATCAGTTTGTTTAGTTTTAATCCGGAATTTTGAAACGGAAAATAGCCGTAATCATTGTGTAGTACAAGTGTGATACACTTTTCATTGTGAAATTAGATTGTTAATCAATCAAATCTCATTAAAGTTTGTTCCCGTATGTATATGAGCGATCAATCATTCGATTGAGTCATTTAAATAGCATCCAAAAAATCCATTCCAATATGTTAATCATTCAATGTCGAATGGAAAAACAAAACAAAACAAAAAGCCAAAAAGATAAAAAGTTTTTGTCAATGATGAAAATTGTCTCTTGAATTGGAATTATAAACCAACAATACAAATGTAATGTAAAGAATGAAAAAGATTTTCCAATCATTTTCAACAACAAAAAAAATTTTAAATTTGAATTTTTCATTGCCAATAAAGTTTCAAATTTGCCTCAATATTGGATTACACACAGATATTCTTTGTAAAATCATTTGAAATTCTTTGAAAAACAAAAAATTCTTTACAAAAAATGTCGTCTTCCCTTGTGATTCATCGTTTTTTTTTTTCATTTTTTTTTGATCCATCAGATTTCCCATTGATTATTTTATCTTTTTATCAACCACCGTAGGGACTGATCAAGAAAAAAAACGAAAAGAAGAAAGAAAGGAAGAAAAAAAATTCCAATTTCAGATTTGATTATTAGCAAAAAAGAAGAGAAAAAAGTTTCTTGAAAATTTTTCTCCGAATATTTTACCCGAATCTATTCAAATCATCCGTATCAATTTTGTTAGGCCACAACAAATTTTTTTTCAAAATTGATTCTCTTTATTTGTTTGTGAATTTTTCTTCTTTTTTTTTTGATTTCAAGAATTTCATATCGGAGAAAAAAAACATGGTAAACGATAAAAAAAGAACTTGATGAACGAAAAGAAGAATCGAAATGTTTTATCAGCTTTCGTTTGACTTGCTTTTCACTTCAACAAAAATGAAAACTTGTTTTGTTGAAAAGTATTTTGAAAAAAAAGTTTTTCATTTTTTTCCCTGCACACTATTACTAACAACTAACAAAGAAATGAATAAAAATAGAAAATTTTTAAAATTTTCAATGTTAAAATGATCAATATTATTGAATATAGAATCTATGAGAATCCAATGTACACACACACACATATACCAACTGCTGACAAATTAGAAAGTCATATGAATGAATGAATGAATGAAAAAAAAATGGTTGTGGTGGGTGTTAACTCATCATCATTGAATAAATCAACGAAACAGAGAAACCAAAAACCAGGCTTATGTCCTTGGGAAACAAAACCAGAATAATCAATGATCTGGTTTCGAACGATTCATTCGAATTAACAAAGAATGAAGAAAATCAAAACAAAAAAAAAACAGAAAACTCGGAAAATCTATCAAGCTAGCCAAGTTTCCAAAAATAAAAATTCTTTATTGAATTTGAATTGATGATCGACATATGTGAAAAATCAATTTTTTTAGGTTAGGCGATAGGCAACTGACAATCGTGAATGAATGATACCAGAACTAGAAAATTCTGATTGGAACTAATACAAAATGAACAAACAAAACAACAACAACAACAACAACAGAAAAAACAATTGAATCAAATTGTAACGAAAATTTGGTTCACACAAACACTGGTTGTCTGTGTGTGTGTATGGTGGTACTTATTTATTTTGTTGTTGTACATTTCTGAATTCCAAATGAAGCTTTAATTTTAACAACAACCAACCAATGTTTGGGAGGAGAAAATATTTGCATAGACGACTATGTGATTATTATATAACACCCAAAATGTGAAAAAAAAAATTTATCACCAAAATAAAATGAATTCAATTCGATTTGAATGTCGCTTTAAACATTGTTGTTTGTTTGTTTCATTATTAACATCATCATTGTTGTTATTTTCGGTGATAATGTGATAACATAAATCAACCCACAGAAAAAAAAACCAAATGAACGAAATAAAATTGATAACTGAATAAAATGAAATTGAATAAGGATGATGATGATAAAAATAAACGAATAAAAAAGAATTTCAAAAAAAAAATAACCAAAAATGTGGAATACAGAATCGTTTTCACGATTCAAATTTAGAAACTGATGATAATGACATTAACAAACAAACAAACGAACGAACGAATAGACAGACAATCAAATGATAGAAAGGATTTTCTTTCATCTCATTTTTTCCATTTTCAATTCTTTTTTTTCAACAATTTAGAAGGTTTGCCTTACACATTGGTCTCACTCGCAAATGTAATATCTTTATGAATTTCGTTTTCATCTTACCAAGATTTTCATTTTCTAATCTTCATCATCATCAACAACAACACAGTGATTATAATCACAATGAAAAACGAATGAATTTCGTTTTCTCATTCTTCTGAATATATCATGATTATTATCATGAAATGAATATTTTTTTTTCAGGGTGTTTGGGATTTACTAACTTTTTCCAAAAAAGTTTTTGTCGTTGTTATCGTTGGTTAACGAAATTTTTTTGTTAAAAAAATTACTTTTCACTTATTCCCATTCTTATATAAGTCTGAATGAGATTAGATGATCAATTTTCATTTGATTGATTTGAAGAAGAAAAAAACGAAATGAAGATGGATATGATGATGCTGATATTGATAAATGTGGATTATTTTATGCAAAGAAAAAAAAACAAAATTCTCAACAAGAATAATCACAAGCACAAACAGACAAACACACGCACATATCACATCACAAACACAAACAAATATGTTTACATCAAAGAATTGTTTGTGGAATATATCAGAAAAAGTTTTACCGAATAAATTGAAAAAAATTGGAATTTTTCTTGTATAATAAAAATAAAAATTGACAACTTAATTAGATTTACGAATTTTTTTATTTTTAATTATCATAAATTTTGTTCAACAAATAAAAAAGAAACAATTATGAATAATTATTAGAATTTGATTAATGAAAAATTCTTTTTGTTATCACACACCTAAACACACACACCATGATGTTGATATTATGAAACAACTTCATAGGAATCACATGTGGGAATGAAATTCAAAAAAGGAAAGAATTTCATACATGTCTGTTCATGATCATCCGGACAATCATCCATCGCTGTCGTCGTCGTCTGAATCTAGGTGATATCTTGCTGTTCATGTTATTCTTTGTAGGTAGTGGTGGTATAATGATGATCATTGCTGTTAATATCGACATATATATAATGAAACATTTCTACGCAAAGAATACGTGCGCATTGCAACCAAAAAAAAAACGAAAAATTTCAAAAACATAATACAATGATACTGGAACATTTGAAAAATGAATCGATCCAACGAATGAATGAATGTAGAGAATGTTTTAAAAAAAAACAAAGATATTTTTATAATAAAATGATGCGCATATATGATATCAACATTTTGGAAATGATATACTCCATTAAATTTTTTTGGTTGTATCCAATTTATCCATTTTATTTTTCGGCATTGTTTGAGCGCGAATTTTTTTAAAACACTAAAAAATTTATGATTCTTATATCGCCATCTATCGGTTTGATAATTTCACTCAACAAGTTAAAAATTTTCAAAAAAAAGTGTTTTTTTTTTATTCCCATCAAAATGTAAATGAAAATTATTTACAAAAATTTTTAGTTTTAGGAGAAAAAAAAGAGATTAGAAATTGCCAAATACTACCAACAATATATTGTGCGAAAATCATTGATAATTTTAGATGTTGATTTGAGAGAATTTTGCTTTGATGAATTCTGAATAAATTAAATGAAAATATTTTTTTGAATAGAATTATAATTTACAAGAAAAATATGCAAAAAAAAATAAACACAAAATGGGTTAAAGTTGCATGAAATCATCAAAACAGTTTAGAAAAGAAATCAAATGATGAAAAAGTAATTATAAAATCAAATCGATTTTGTTGTAATATTATGTAATGACCTGAATGTTTGCGTCTAGTGTTGATGATGATCGTGGAATTGGTAAATATGATATAAAATAAAATTAATGCTAATTGTAAATAATTAAAAGACAATCGATAATATAAAATGGCATGTAATAAATTACGAGTTCATGTGCACAATAATAATCAATCAATCATCATACTATCTGCATCATTACCATTCACATTCTCATTGTCATCATCGTCATCACCATCATCCTCAGGAACAGAAGCGATAGGCTCATCATCATCTTCATCAATAATTGACGTATCATTCAATGTTGATTGATTCGTTGTTTTATTATTACAAGATTCAAACAATTGCAAAATTTTTTGTACTCTTTCTTTTCCTTTTTGCGTCATTATATCCTAAGTATAAACGAGATGAAATGTTAATCAAATTGGTATAAATCAAATTGGAAAATCTACTTACGGCTAGATGGGCAAAATCTCGAAGTTTTTTCAATTCTTCAATTAATGGTTTAAATGAATGATCAGGTAATATATTTGACAACGATTGTCTAAACTGATCATTATCCTGTATACAACAGCCAAGTAATAGACAAACACATGCAGATAAAAGACTGTATTCCATATGTGTACCAGATTTGCTTATCACTAGTCAAAAAAAAAAAAGAATTATAAATTTCAAATTCAATTCAATTCTTTTCACTTACTTTGCATCAAAAGATTATCTTGCATTGCTTCAGTCATTTGTACAGTTTCATGTGATTCCAATAAATGATCGGTTTGTTGTTCAACTTGTACGGCTTCTTCAATCTTTTTGAAAAGTAAATCGCATAATTTTCCAAGATAGTTTTTCGTTTCCGATGTCATTATTATATCTCTTATATGTTCACAAAATTCAGCCAAATTAATACAAAGACAAATAATAATGACCATCAGGTCAAAACGTTGATCAGACATAATAAATGATGGTAATTCGAATAATGAATCCAATAATAATTGTATAACACCATCAAATTTACCGACAATTTTACAACCGTCAACTATCGAATCAATGATAAAATATATTAGGGCTTAATCATCCGGAAATAGAAAAGAATTTGATGAACTTACCACTCTCGGAAGTAAGATTAGTCAATACACGAAGAATGGAGAAAAATGCCGACAAATAAACTTTGGATTCATTCGATTCGATAACTCTTTGTTTGCATTCTATCAACAGGCTGATACAAGTTGATATGAATTTGCTTTCATTATAATTAGCAACATAAAGCTGATTTTCTACATTGTTGAATGTAACCTAAATAAGTGAATTTTCAAAAAATAAAATAAAATAAAATCTCGATAATCTATTATTCCACTTTATACGTACATTTTCCAATACATGCATACAGCGATCAATTTTAACTATCTGTCCTTCTTCTGTATGTTTTTCGGCACATCGTATAACAGTGTTAACGATAAAATCAATACCTTTCATACGACGTAATTCAACTTTGAACCAATCTCCTGCACGTTTCGATGTTAGACCTAACAATGTTTCCATAGCTAATTTACCAGCCTAAATTATCAAACTATACTATTAATATGTGGCTATCTTTAAATGAAAAATCGTTCTTTTACCGTTATTTCATTCAATTTTAGATATTGAGCATGGCCTTTGTTTTTCATCTCTTCAACCAATGATCGTATTTTAATACGATGTTTCTCTTCAACTTGATTACATTCATCGGATCTGGTTTCCAACAATTCCAACATCAATGATAATGCATTTGGATCAATATCCATTGTTAATCGATCTTGATTATAGACAAACATTAAGCAGGCTGTACAAAGGGCAAGATTTGAATCTTGTGGTGCATCCATCAATGCTTTTATGATTCTTGGCATATCATCATGAGCACGTAAATGCATTCGAAATTCTGGTCGCATTGTTTGTTGTGTTAACCCTACAATACTGTCAATGAATGAAAACAAATTTTAAAAAATTTTCAACAAAATCATCAATAAAAATTAAACCTTAAACATCGCATTGAATTTGGATTCGATGAAATGATTCCACTAAGATAGTATTTAATATCTTCATCAAATTGTTCGGTTTCACCTAATTCATGACATTGGTGTGCTTTCTTAATTCGCTTCAATTTAACATAAGTATCATCATTGACATCATTATCGGATGATTTCTTTTCTTGTTCGGTTGTTGTTGCCGTTTTTTTAATTTCATCATCAAATTCATCTTTTAATTCAGAACTGAAGAATTTTTTAGCATCAAATTCAATTTTATTACGATGTTCACGATGTGAAAAGATTTTCTTTTTAGGTGGTCTAACAACGGGTAAAGGTGCTACTTGTTGTTTTTCATCATCAGGTTTTGTTTCTAGCAGCGTCGTCGTGATCGATGATGATGATGATGATGATGGTTGTGATTGATCATTTTGTTGTGAATCAGTTACATCGTTATTTGTTGTGTCGATTTTCGCCATATTTAAGCATTCTGATTCTTGAGTATTTTGACTATTCTGATTTGTAATGGTTTCAGTTTGAATGTCATAATTTTTTTCATCAGACTTAATTGATTCATTGATATGAACGTTATCATTATCTGTCGAAATGATTGGCGTTGGTGATGGAACAATTTCCGTTTCACCTGAATTTGGCTCAATTTCCTTTCCATTGATAATAGTTTCAGAATGATTTTCATTAGATTCCTCGATAACTTTAGGAGATTTTTCTATTTCTATTTCTTCTTCATTTTGTGGCTCTTGTTCAACAGAATCTTGTAATTGATTTTCATCATCATTTTCGATTATTTCGTCAATCGTTGTCGTAAGATTCGATGATTTTTTCTCATATACAAAATGAATACTTGATGATGATCTTTGTGAATTATTTACTTGTTCCGGTTCAATTCCTTTTAATCTTCGTGATGAACGAATACCACGACTTGCATCGGATGGTGAAAATGTTTGTACAGTATGAGTTGTCTGTAATGGTTTAATTGTTGCATTTCGTACATTCGAATTATTGTTACGTATATGAAATTCGGTCACCTTGTTTGGTGATATAATTTTTTTGATTGTTTTATCGCCACATATTTTTATCTCACACGATTTACTATCGGTCATGCTGATTGATTTGGATTGAATCGAATTATTATTAACATTATTATTACTACCAGAAGATTTAATTCGTCCACTATATGTTGTTATCCTTTGTTGTTTTTGATTGGAAAAATTGTTCAATACAATTGATGGTGAACGATTTGTTGCTGATGATGATAATCGTGAACTATTCGATGTAGAATTATTGGATTGTTGCCCGGAAGCCATTGATGAATTGTTTGTATTTGCCGACGATGCTGATGTTGTAGCTGATGCTCGAGATTTGAAAAATTTATAAACTTTAGGCTTTGTTTCGGCTGATTTGTTTTCGGCATTCGAACAATCGGTATTTGTATTACCACGAACCGATGCGGCCGGTTTTCGATCCATTTTCATCATTATCAGATCATCCATTGGATCATGATGTTCATATTTAGTTTTTTTCAACGGTACATAATTACCATTTTCATTATTATCTTGTTGCCGATGACGAACAGACGTGAATGTTGCCTGACCAAATTTTGTCACACTAACGGCAGCCGCTGTTGTTGTCGATCCAAATGATGTTGATTTTGCCATTGCAGCCGCCGTTGTTGATGATGATGACGATGAATGTGCTTTACTTCGAGATTTCATTTTCGAATATTAATAAAATCTTTAAATATGATGATGATGTTAAAAAACAATGTTAATTGATTATTAAGGTCGAAAAATTTTTAATTAAAACATTCACAACTTTATGCTCATGATCATCGAAATTATTATCAATCCGATTCTTAAATGATAATATCGATAATCATAAGCAGCTGTATCAACAACTTTTTTTTTGCTCTTTTGCTGCTCGTTAGCGGCGCTCGGCTTTTTTTTGTTATTCAACACTCAAAACACACACATTCAATAATCGCCTCCAAAAAAAAAGTATGACAAAACATTGAGAGAAAGAATGAGCCGAGCGGCCATAATCAGATCATTGAGTATGATCGATAATGTTCAGATGGCGCCACAAATGTTTTAAAAAACTACAAATTCTTGAAATTCAAAAATTAGAATTTATTAAAAAATTATCATTATTAAAATTATTATTGAGAGGAAGGATTCATCGATGAGGACAAATATTTATGTTTCATTTGTAGAATTTGTGACATTTCTGATAATGATTTTTCATAACTTGTTCGAATATTTGTTCGTATCGTATCGATAACCGTATCGGAAATCTAATTTTTAATAAATAAAAAATTACATTAACAATTGACATTTAACAGATTGAAACTTACATTAAATTTTTGCGAAAATTTAAATTGATATGAATCGACCAGCGACATAATTTCAATTTCTTGTATAATAGTAATAATTGATTTAAAATAGCCATCCATATTTGAATGTAAAGCTGTAATAGCATTTGTAAATGTAATGAAAAATTGTTCAACATTTTGGAATTTTTTTGCATCCATTCTTTTTTTCCATTTTTTCATCATTTTATTCAAACGTCGTTGACCATCGATGATCAATGAAAACAATAATACGGCAATATTCAATACATCTATCCAAACACTAATTCGACCGAATAATTTATACACATCTTTCAATGTTTGATTATGTTTCCATTCAACAATAGCCGTTTGAATTTCTTCATTTAATTTGTTAAATAAATTTTCATCTTGAAAACAACATTTTTCATTATCAAATGATCCAGAAATGAATCGAAACATTTCGAGTAATCCATTCGATAAAATATGAATTAATTGTGGAAATTGGCTGGCAAAAAAAGTGTTCAACCGTGATGGTTGTGGACCTTCAATACAATGCTATTGAAGAAAAAAAACGAAAGTTAAAATTTGTTTTTGATTTTTCAAAAAAAAACATACTTTCAAATTTTGCTGTATTGCTTCCATACAACAAGAATGTTGTTTGGACAAATCTGTAAATAAATTTTCAAACATTTCAACATTCAAATGGTGATCATCGGTTTGCGTATCATTATGATTGATGTGATTAGCAGATTCTTTATTCATCATTGAAAAATCTTCAGTCCATATTTTTTTCGATAAATAATCACCAAGTGCAATTATTTTCAATACATTATATCGATATGATAACCATTGTTTGTCTTGTTCAAGTGTAACTTTTCTGATTACATTTTCAACATAATCATTCATTTTATAATGATAAGAATTGAGAATTTTTAAATCACGATTATCAAGAATTTTTGTTGAATCCAAATCAAAATCTTTTGATAAAAAAATTGTCGTTAAAAGATATTCAGCAGCTTCATTGAAAGAATTTTCACTATTAAACAAAAATGATTATTCCATTTTTTTACAAAAAAAAAATTATTCAATCATTTACCTTTTACAATCCAACAAAAGATTATTAAACAATCTTTCCACATAAGTTAAATGATAATAAATTGAATAACGTAATTTTTGATTAAATTTCAAAATTTCATCAATTTTAGTGAAGCAACCATTTTTATAGCAGGTAATTATTGAATCTGAAACCTATATGTATGTTGAATAATCGAAGATGAATGATTTTATAAGATTATGACATTTTCAAAATTTGTACAACAAATTACCTCTTTAAAATTAAAATTATAAAATTTAAAACTAGAATTAAGAAATTGTTCAACTTTTTGATAAAGGGCACAATGTATGAATGATGGAAAAAAATGATAACCAATCGTATCATTTTGTATTAGTTTAATTTCCATTAAATCATATAAATTATGACTAGATAAGGCAACACCAATTGAATTATAAAGGCAAACCAATAATAATTTGGCATAAAAATCATTTCGATTTTCCAATAAATATTGTTCAATAATAATAATTAAATCAAATAATGTTTGACTTAAAATTTGATCATTATCATTTGTTTGATAAATATCCGTATCGGCCAATGTTTTTAATACAATCAAATAGATTAATGATGAATTATTGGCACATTGTTTTGGTTCATATTGATCGATAAATAAATTGATCTCATTACGACGATCAATAATATTTTCGGTAAATTTTTCTCGACAATAATGTTCAATATAATCAAAACATAATTTCATATTCAAATCTTTATCATTATCATTATTGTTCAGTTTTGTTTGTGATAATTTCATTCGCATCAATAGATCATTGATTTTGTTCATCATTGACATTCGTTTTATATCAATATTTTCCAGAATGAATATTAAATCTTTGATGCATACATATTTTGTACCGAAACGTTCATAATAATCTACACATAAATCGATTGGATCGATTAATGGATTTTCTTGAACAAAATTTTTAAAAGATGGATGATTAATTTGTTTGTCATGTAAAAGTTGACTGCTAACTATGATTCTGGCAATGAATGGACTACGTGGACAACGTTCACTAACCATTTTATTCAATGAATCATTAGATTGTTCATCTGAATCTTCATTCATTTTCCATAAAGTTGTTTTACCTTCCAAACACATTTGTTGTATCAATTTTAATAAACGAACCATATAAGATTCTGTGTTGGAATTTTCATCGTGTTGTTGATCCAATTCTAAGGCCAATGTGAATGCATCAACATAATAATCATATTGATCATTATTATCATTTATTAATTGTACATAACAATCAAAACATTCAGCTAAACGTTTTTCTTTTCGTAATAATTTTGCCTTATGTTCTAGCTGATAATTAAAATCATCAGTAGATTGTTTATCTTTTTTTTGTTTAATTTCTTTTTCTTCCATTAAGGTAATCATTTGTGAATATTTTTTCTGTGCTTCCAATACCATCAAATAAAGATCATATTCTGGATCGGATTCAAAACGATTTTCTTTATAGAATTTTTCACACATTTTTTCCGCTAATGGAAGAATTATTTTATTGGCCATAGTTTTATCATCGGCTGTTACTGCTTGCATGTAAATACTCATTATTGCCCAAAAATAATAGGGATTTTTTTGATGTACTTTATACAGATTTAATGCTGTCATTTGTTGTTTTTTATAATCATTTAATCGTACATATGACATGAATAGATGTGCAAAAAGTTTTTCATTAGCTGGATCTTTTTTCAAGGCATTTTCATATAATGATGCTATTAAATCGTTTCGTTGTGCTTCACGATAACATATTGACATTGTCTGCAGAATCATTTCATCGCTTGGCATTTCAGCATGTAATTCATCAAGAATTTCTTTTGCTTCTTTTCGACGATAAAGTCGAATCAATGTTAATGCTTTTAATGCACGTACATATGGTTGATTACGATTTTTCTTCAATAATTTATCAATCTCTTGCAAAGATTTTTTATAGCAACCATTATCAAGATATTCAAATACAGGACGAAGTTTTCGATCATTCTCTGTTTGTTGTTGTGGTTGAATCTGTCGTGACATTTTACCTAAAACTAAAAGAATTTACTATCGATATAAACAACAAAAAAAAACTAAGATGAAAATTTAGAATTCTTGAAACAATTTATTCACTGCATTCGATTCGGTAAAAAATAAGGGGTAAGAATAGGAAGAAAATGAAATTTGATTAAATCATCAAGAATATAAAATGAATCAAGAATTCGAATGCATGCATGCAAAAAACACATGATATATCAACAGAAATGATCCGGTACGTCTCACAACTGTCGCACACACAATTCTGGATATATTCGTAAACAACATGACAAAAGAATTTTTTTAATTAATTAATTTAAAAAATAAAAAAATTAAATTTTTTCTTATAAATTTTCAAGCTTTTCGTTCGATAACAAAGTATTCCATTTAGTATGGATTGAACATAAATGTTTGTAAGCTCGTTGGCTAATATTCAATGCTGGATAGATTGATTGAACATAAATTTCAGTACTAATTTGATTCAAAACTCGAAGCGATAAGGCAGCTAGACCAAAATAAGTATGTAAAACATCTGGAAAATGAATACAAGATTATTTTTTAGCATTAAATTAATATGAAATATTATAATAAAGATTACCTGGTGATGTATCAGGAAATTTTCCAAAGCCACCGGTATCATTATCAAATGTTGTTGATAAAAATTCGGAATGCAATTGATCATCAATGAATTGAAATGAATTTAACATTGTTAGTGAAGCACCGACCCAAAATGAATAACATGTATCAGGATCTTTTTGTGGTCGACCCTGAAATCCAGACACTTGCCGATTTAAACACCATTCTACAATCGTTTGACGTTTTCGTTGATCATAAACTTCATTTAATTGGTCCATTAATTTAAGAGAAGCGATCGCACAGTATGTAGAACCTGCATGAGCTTCTGCATCGATCGTTTGTCCAAATGCATTTTCATAACTTTGGCACGATTTTATATGGTCAATCATTGTATCACGATTGATTGATGACCAATCTTGAAGAATATAACAGATTGCTGCAGCACAGTATATTACTCGTATATCGGATTCTTCTTCAATCAATGATTGAACAAATCTATGTTTTTTTAGGTAATAATTTATCTATTTAAAAATTAAATCAAAACTTTGCTGATTTACCTTCCATCTTTTTGTTGATGAAGACGAATACCACGAATAATGGCTTGTCGATTGACACGATCAAGTGTATCACCAAGTATAATCAACGAAGTTAAGGCACAATAAGTTAAAGAAATATTACAATAATCGTATTTATATTCGCTACGTCCAACAGCCGAACGATGACAAGTAAAACCAAATTTTCCAGCATTCAAATCTGAATCATTTTTTGGATGTAATTGATGTTCATAAATTGAATCGATTATTTCACATTTTCGTTCATCACTTAATTCATCCAGGCTATTGATTAGATCGAGACCAGATATGAGAAAAAATATGACCATTAAACTATAATTTATGTGATGAGAAAAATAACCACCAATAATTAAAAGGAATCTATCTAATAACAAACAGTAACAAGCATTTTTTTACCGGTTATTATCATCGATGGGAAATATTTTATTGAGTTTTTTAATCATATATCCTATCAATAATTTTTGTTTTTCTTCATCGATTTTCATAATTGATGAAATATTTGTTTCCTCAACAGCCATTATTAAAAAATATGTCTTAAGATAATTTTCTTTCACAGAATTTTATTTAATTAAACAGATAAATATGTTACACACCGTGGTTGAAAAAAAAATTTCACAAGAATTGTGGCTATTTATACACCAATGGACAAACTTTGGGCGCTGTCTCGGATAGCGCGCAAAAAAAATAAAATTGAATTCATTTAGAATTCTGGCGATTATTATGATCACTTTTCTTTTTTCTTTGTTTTTTATCTTCTTTGGAATCGATTTTATCATCAATGAAATCAATTTCCCAGAAACGTGGTGGTGAACGATATGCAGATCGATAACCACGATGTTTTGCACAATCATCCAATAATGATTGTAATTTAGCCATTGATAATTGTCGTGATGAATAATAATTTTGGCAATTATGACACAACGTTCGAAACATACGATCACATTGATAATCACGTTCGATAGGTGATCGAACATTTTCTCCATTTTCTTTTTGTTTTATCTTAGCCGATTTTTTATCTTTGAAAACTTTTAATTTGACTTCACCAACATCATCGTCTTCATTTTGATATCCATGTGGATTAAAAAAATCCTCTTGACTACTTTTTGGTTGTTCAGTTTGGCTTGTCGATGCTGATGGAATTGGACCTTCGTCACGGATAGAAGATGAAGAAGAATCTAAAGAATCATGATCCATAATTTTAGTTTCATCTATCACAAAATTCGATGAATATGTTTCGTTTAACGATGATTGATTTATATCTATTGTTTTATCGACCAAGATAGTTTGTGTATCATAATCATTATCGTCACAGTATTCATTATTGCAATCAAAGATTGATTCATTTACATTGATTGAAAAACGTGAAATGAATGAATTTGAATTGATTTCATTATTATTGAGTTGATCGGGTGAAGTGATGCTGAATACTTGTTCACTTTCAATCGAATCGCTACTATTTGATGAATGATTTAATTTATCCGAATTAATTGAAATAGAATTTTCGGCTAACATTCGCGAAGATGGAATTTGGGTTTCATTTCCTCTGAGAAAATTTTCAGAAGTCGATTCCTCTTGTCTTGAAGAAGATGGGCTCATTTTATCCATATCAGATATTAAAAAGCTTAAATTATTTTTTAGTTTTTTCATATTTTGCATTACCGACATGGAACGGTTGTTTATAGATTTTTCTGATTCTATTTTCTTTTTGGCTTGTTTAAAATCTTTGAATTTCATTCGACCAAATGTTTTGTTCTTCATTCGAATTCGATCACGTATGTCTAAAGTTTTTCCATTTTTATCAATAACTACAATACCAGTTGGAAGAGCAGGATGAGTGGATACATTTGTGAATAAAGAATTTTTTACCATTTCTTGTTGTTTCGGTACCAGATCAAAGCCGAAATTATCTTTATCTTTTTGTTCATCGACAATCATCGGTGATTCCGGTATTTCATTTACAATTTGCTCATCTTCAAGCGAATCATTTTCAAAATCATCATCATTGTTAATTAGATCCATTTTTTCAAGGTTAAAATATTTCAGTTCTAAATGTTCAAAACAACACAGTGAATTCTTTTTTTGTCAAATGAAAAATCGTCAGAAATGTTTCGGCAATTTACTAACGAAATCTTTCTCGGGCAAGTTGTTTCACAATTGTTTTTGGCCACGAGTTTCCAATTCTATTTATTATTCCTTTTTAAAAATTAAATAAAGTTAAATATATTGAAATTAAAATGGCACAGGGAAAATTAAAGGTCAAAACAAAATTACCCGGCAATGTGAAAAAGGCATCCGTACATCGTGGTGTGCAGAAAAAGAAATCAAAAGGTATGGCTCATTCAGATTTCAATCACATTCTATTGAATTGAACATTTTTTTCATCTTGAACAACAGTCCCGAATAAAAAATCCAAACCAATTAATCCAGGACAAAAACTTCAACATGAAGTGACCAAAGAGATTAACAAAACGATTGAAGCTGAGGCTCGAGGTATGGCACAGAAATTCGGTGAACCATCGGCAAAAATTGATCGAAAATCATTAAAATCATAATAAAAAATTCCTTTTCATTCAATAATTTTGTAAATAAAATTTATCATTTGAAAAATTAATTGAATAAAAACTTTAAATTATGTCAAGTATTTTTTGTTGCAATTCTGAAACGAATCCAATTCCAAAAAATGAGTTTGGATCATAAGGATTCATGTGGATTCTATTTCGCATAGCTATTCCAATCGAAATAGATGACCCACGTGCCAAAATTTTCGCAATAACACACGCTTGTTCAAAATTTGATTGTAAACAAACTATCCATTTCAGGAACAATGTCAAGAATATTTATTGAAAATCTTCCCAAAAATGTAATTTTTTTCAATTTTTTTGAATAATTTAATAATTTAAATCAATATTATTCTCTTGTTTAGATTACCCAAGAGGTATTGAAACAAAAATTTGCTGAAAAAGGTGAAATAACCGATATTCAACTAAGACAAGATAAAAGAAATGCATTTATTGGTTATAAACAACCAGAACAAGCACAGAATGCAGTGGATTATTTCAACAAAACATTTATTCATACATCGAAAATAACTGTTAAGATTTGTGACAGTTTTCGTTTAAATAAAAAAGCAGAAAAATCTCAAACAATTCAAGATGAAAAAACTGATGATGATTCGAAGAAAAAGAAACGACAAAAAATCGATCCATTTGAAGAGGTTCGAAATGATCCAGAATTTGAGGATTTTCTTCGTCTACAGCGAAATATCGATGTGGATAACAAATGTAAGGAAATTTGGAAAGATGATGTTATTGCCAATGTTCTCGATGATCAAGATGAAGAAAATGATGATGAATGTGACAATATTGATGATGATGATGATAATCAAAATAAAGATGTTGAAAAACGTTTAAAAAAGACATTTGATTTTACTGTTAAAATTCGTGGTCTCCCTTACAAGATTAAAAAATCTCAATTAAAAGAATTTCTTAAACCAATCAAACCTATGAGTATGAGATTTGTACCGCATGTAAAAGGAATAGCATATGTATCATTCAAAAATGCTTCTGATCTACAACAGGCAATGATCAAACATCGTGGTTTTATTGATGGTCATCGGATTGAGATTACTAATATGGAAGGACAAAAACAAAAAACCGAAGTTGCAATAGGAAATGGTAAAAAAATCGAACAAAACAAATCAAATAATGATGATGGTGATAATGATGAACAACAGAAAAAAGAACAACCCGAACCGATTAGTGAATCTGGTAGGATTTTTATTCGAAACCTATCCTATACTTGTACAGAAGATGATCTGCGAGAATTATTTGAAAAATTCGGTACGATTACTGAACTTCATATGCCTATCGATTCGTATACGAAAAAACCGAAAGGTTTTGCTTTTGTTACATACATGTTTCCTGAGCATGCTATAATTGCGTTCAATCAATTGGATAAAACAGATTTTCAAGGTCGTCTTATACATTTATTACCGGCTCATATGAAAAGTGAATCCACTTACAATGGTCCTCCACCACCTTCAGATGATGAAATGGATGATGATCAACAACAGAAAAAATCTTCAACATTTAAACAAAATAAAAATGAAGAAAATCGTCAAGATGCTCAAAATACTACACGTTGGAATACATTATTTGTACGTTCGAATGCTGTAGCTGATATAATGAGTAAAAATTTAAATATGAACAAATTAGATTTGCTTACACAATCGGATCGAAAATCTGGTAATGCAGCTGTACGGATGGCATTAGGCGAAGCACAGATTGTAAACGAAATTAAACAATTTTTAATAAAAAATCAAGTTCATCTGGAATCATTTGAACGTGGTATTGATTGTCCTCGTAGTCGTACAACAATTCTGGTCAAAAATCTTCCTGCCGATACACAGGAAAAAGAGATTCAAACATTATTTGAAAAATACGGTTTAATCAATCGAGTTATATTGCCACCATATGGATTAACAGCAATCGTCGAAATGCAAGAACCAAATGAAGCAAAATTTGCATTCAAAAAATTAGCTTACAGTAATTTTAAACATTATCCATTATTTTTAGAATGGGCACCTGAAGATGTATTCGCAGGTACATTGACTGAATCATCCGATAAATCAAATGTTGAAGAAAAACCTGAAGAGATACCCATTGAAGATGGTTCAACAATATTTGTTAAAAATCTTAATTTCGATACAACTGAAGAAGATTTTCGCCAATATTTTGAAGATAAAATTGGTCCTGTTCATTCGGCGACGATTGCAACGAAAAAAACGCCCAAAGGAATTTTATCTATGGGATATGGTTTCATTCAATTTTATCAATCTAAAATGGCCAAAGAAGCGATTAAAAAGTTACAGAATTCAAAATTAGATGGTCATCAAATAGAAATTAAATTATCCAATCGAACGACATCATCAACAAATAAAACCGAAATCGTTAACAGAAAAAACCTTACGGGTAAAAATCGTTCCGGTCAAAAACAGACCGGATCGAAAATATGTGTCAAAAACATTCCGTTCGAAGCTACCGTTGAAGATGTTCGAAAAATTTTCAGGTATTATTTTTTTCATTCAATCAAAAGATGGCGCTTGTTTACTGATAAAATTGATAATTTTGATTTTTTTTCTTTGATTATTCTTGAAGTACATTTGGTCAGATTAAATCGATACGAATACCGAAAAAATTGGCCGGTACATCACAATATCGTGGTTTTGGTTTTGTTGATTTTACTACAAAAGAAGATGCAAAAGTTAGTCGTGTTTATATTTGTAATCAAATCAAATTGATTTTATCCTTTTTTTTCTCTATTTTGAAAAAAAGCGTGCATTTGATGCTCTTTCATCAAGTACACATCTTTACGGTCGACCATTAGTATTGGAATGGGCTAAAAATGATTCAGTAATGAATAACGACAATAACGATAATATTGATGATAATGATGACGATAATCATCGTGACGAAGGTAGACAAATAGGTGCCAAAATGGTTAGATATTTTCGACAAAATTTAGATGGTAAGTTGTTTTTACATTCATCATTGTTCTAATTTCAAATTCAATAAAAATGTATCTCAATTTGTTACTAATTAATCGCGGCGGGTTTTTTTTGAATATTATTGTTGTTGAACTCTGTTCTTCTAGGATTTTTTTTTGTTGAAATTCGTTTCGGTGATACGTGGTTGTTTGCGTGTACCATTAGATTTTCTTCAAAGTCATCATTTGATAGAATTTCGTTCAAAGAAAAAAAACTGATCAAATTTTTTTTTTGTCTCATCAATTGATCGATGACTTTTGAATCTTTGATTATCAAATGATGAACCAACTTCTGTTTTTGTCTATGTCTGCTATGTTATTTTGTTCTTTAGGACTTTATATTCACAATTCTGAAACTTGTTCTTTTGTGGATAAACAAATGTTTCGTGTATGTGTGTCTGTTTTCCTTTGGTCAACCATTCATTCAATTTTTGTCCTATCTTTTCTCTTTGTAGAGTAGGGACCAAAAAAAAACAAAAAAAATTATTTCGATTTCAAATGGTGTCGGACAATGTTCACAATTCGGTTCTTATTTATGGCATTTGATGATGATAGATGATAATGATGGTATTTCTTTATTTTTTTCAAGTTTTTTTCAGTTTCTTTTAAGAAAAAAAAATTGGATCACTTAGAACTTCATATGTTCAAATAGCCATAGAGAAGATGATTATTTTCAATATTTTTTTTATTATTATTATAAATTCGTCTTGGATTCAATTCGGTTTCGTAGTAATTTTGATTTTCTCTTCACTTTTCTTTCGCACAATCACACACACTTAAAATACACATTCGAATGTTCCAAGTGGAACGTTTTTTTTTGCAATAATCAATAGAATAAAAGAATTATAAATAATGAGAACAACAACAAAAACAACTTTTATCCAAACAACTTAGCGAATCAGTTTCTACGTATTCTTGAGTATTTATTCTATGTTGTTGTTGTTATTGTTATTGAAAATGAAAATAATAATCATAGGTTTTGTTTAAGAATAAAATTCTTTGTATTCCGGTTTTTTTGTTTTGTTCGCCAGAACTGGATATATCTATGGGATTCAATTTCAATATATATTAAAAAAATCGTGAACAAAATTCATGCAGAATACAAAAGTCGAGAGTGCAAGAAAAGTTCCACGATGATGATGATGATGATAACTATGTTAACCTGTCATCGACAGACTCATTATACGAACCTCATCTTCATCATATTTTTTTTCGTTTAATATGTAGTCACACTTGAAAATCACTTTTGAATTAGTTGTTTTTTTTTTTTTTTTTTTTTTTTTTTTTTTTTTTTTTTTTTATTTTTTTCCCTAAATGAAAAAAAATTTTATGAAAAAAACC